TTCGACCGAAAGCCGTCCGAACGTTACACGAAGCCGACCTTCGATTAGCGACAGACTCGCCGAAATAGGACCTCTCAGTATGAATGTACCTAGCTTTAACTGACCCCTTATCCTGACACGTGAGTAAAACGAAGAACAGGAAACCCCCCCCCCGAAAAGGCGAAAGTACAAGAAAACGAGTGTATAAACCTCTCTTGGAGCACTAATTAAAAATGACGGAAATGAAATTTTACACGTAAGAAAGGATTATTTATCTCTATCCCCTTTAACTTTAACGTCCTAACTCTAAATATTTAATTTCACGAACTTTGTTTATTTTTACGTTGAATTTCTTTTTTGGGTTTGTCCATGTTGGTGCTGTCAGAGGAAACTTGCAAGCAATGATTCTGAATTATCCAATCGGATTCAAATAAGGTGACCCATTCAAATAAACGGGTTTTATTCGACAGGTAATCGGATAAACTAGATAACTAAAAAAATAAATAGTACTTGCCGTAGGAACTTGTGATCACGGATTTAATATCTTTTTTGTTATGACAACTCAAATTGGATAGCCAATCAATTCATACATATGTAAATTGGTTTCATCTTTAATTAAGGCACCATAAAAAGAAATAGATCTATTTTACACAGCATCAAACAAAGTTGACTAAAGTTGACTAACTACCTAATTTGGAAAACTTATAAAAAGTATAATTGTACAACCTTTACTTTTACCACGTCATGTTAGAGTGGATAGACCAATAAAATTTCTGCATTGATATACTCTACAGTTTTCCAGTTTTCCATACGTATAAGATGTTAAATGTATACGTAGTACGTGTGTATATAGCAAATATATATAATAAAAAATGTTAACACAAATCTTCTCAGAAACTTGATTTTTTATTTTATTTTACTTGGATATAATTTTTATAGTATAAGTTGTAAAAATATTAACTTTATGTTTCGGACTTTTATCAAATTCTGATTCCTAATATTAATTTACTTTACGCTATCATTACGCGTGACAAAATAGTAACTAGTAAAATAAGCCGTCAACAATTATTTGCGTTGGCGTTAATCGATATATTGACTATAAATCGGTAAAATACTACAAGGCTTTGGTGCATCTCCTAATTTATGATTAGTAAAATTCATATCGAGCAAATTTTAAGGGAGAAATTCTAGTTCAAGTATTCTGCTTATACATTTTTTCAATTTAAAAAAATGGAAATTACTGAAAAAGATGGGAAAGATAGAAAAAGCTTTGTAAGTCAAACTTATTTTAACCTTATATATTATTCTGAGTTATATTCCTCAAACTATGAAGATAGAATAGAAATCTATAATAAACTGTTATCTGAAAATTCGGATCTTACCCCAAAAGAGAAGGAATCTTGTCAAGACAGAGCTTCAAGAAACACTGAAAGAGAGAAAGAATTATACAAAAGAGGCAAGTCAATGGAATGCAGTTATTGCAATTTAACAAGATATTCAACTCGTTACTGCGAAAATTGCATTATAAGATATTTAAAAAGCTTTTTTGGAACTTGGACATCTGGATGCGATATTATTGATAGATTTATTTGCGAATGTCAATCAAGTTCAGGACTCCCTCTACATATTATGGAATGGATTTCATTTGATCAATTCAAAGACATAAAACCTTTTGCAAAGGGTGGTTTTGCTACTATATACACTGCGACGTGGAAACGAGGATCGATATTAGATTTTAATGAAAGTGAACAAAAGTTTGTTTATCAGGGTCCTCAAAAGGTTGTGCTTAAATCTTTAAATAATTCAACAGAACCTACAGAAGAGTTTTTTGAAGAGGTTTATATTAAATATATTTTTATTGTATATGCTTATCTTACTATAAAATATACTTATTTTTATATCCTCCTTCTAGGCAAATAGATTTATTCAAATTAGATCAGGTGATATTGTTAATGCATATGGAATAACTAAAATTGAAATTCC